CGACTTTAGAAAGTAGAGAACTGAGAGAAAAAGATGCTAATGGCAGATGACTTTTTCAACCCTTCCTGAATGTTATATCCTCTGCCTTCAAAAACAACTTTTAGTGACAAAGTCCGTCAGGAAGTGACTGTCCATAAGCTCCTTCCTGTTCATGTTCCTCAAGGTAAAATTTTCATTTTTGACATTGTGAAAACGAATACCCTAATGCACTTTCTTGGAAAGCTGACCAGAAGTATATGAAATACTTTACACTCCTTTTTCATTCTACTTATTTAATGCAAAGGCAACAATGACATGGATAAATTATGTCATCCTTTGCCATCTTGATTCCCCCTCCAAATATGTTGGGCTTCTATCACCAAATTTGCCATATTTCACTGCTGGTTGGGAAATTATAAAATCAAAGTCCAATAAAGCAGATGGATACTAATTTGGAGATTGCTGAACTAGATTATCTAATCTCTTACTGAATATAATGAGTATATCGATTTGTTAGTTGCAAGGGATATAGCTTTTATTTCTGAATCACAGTGCTGAAACGTACATTATTTTAATAGATTATAAGATGTTAATTTTCTGTAATATAGGTTTTTATTCACTACTTTATAGTCTTAGTTCTCAGAGTTCATGTTGCATACATGACTCATGTCACTTGTTATACAATTTCTGCCCATCTTAAACATTCAGATTAACTACATAAAACAATGCTACGTGAGAGCTTTCTTCAATTGTAGTTTTATCTTACAGAAACTATTTTCTTACCTTAAGTAATAAAACACTTTATTATTTTATCAAAACTATTTTATAAACCTATTAATATAACAATGTCAAAGAAAGACTTCAACTGTTAAAAATCTTCAAAAGATTTGCTATATGGACAATGTACCAAGGGTGGTTAACACTAAGTTACGTCAACTATAATGAATGCTGCGAGTTAATTTTTTCTTTATATTTTCCTTCCTTTTTTGCCTTCGATTTATTTTGGTATTTTTACCATGATAATAATATAGTAGATATGGGTGCATACTATAAATATTTTTTATTTCAGTAGTAGTAACTTGTTTGCTAATCAGCTTAATACAGTATAAAATTGCTTTTAAATTGAAAATCTGAGTCATGTACGAAATTTTGAGCTCCTTATTTTTGTCTAATACATTGTTTGTCAACCTTGGCAACTTCCAGTTATGTGGACTTCAACTCAAAATTCTAATCAACGGCTATGCTGGCTGTGGAATTTTGGAACTTGAGGTCTATACATCTGGAATCTATGCAAAAGAAAGTACCTTCACTGGTTTTCTTTTAGTGTAGCTTTCCAGAACAAAAGGTCACTTATATGTATGTACTTGCTATGGACAGACGCTATATGACAAGAGATATATAATTGATGACATACTTTGGGACAGAGTTCCCCAAACTTTTCGGCTTTGCGGACTGGCAGGGGACAGGAGATGGCATATGCTTGCCCATCACTTCTGTGGCCTGGGTCCAAAAAGCAGGGGCCAGTAGTGGGCCGCAGCTGGGGTTTGGGGACCCTGCTTTAGGACACAGATATATGCAACCAAATTAAGAGCCAGAAGAAGTGTGCACCCGAATATCTTCTTGATTTTTTCTGTGCCTAAGCAGGATGCATTACTATTTCAATCAATTAACTTCTTCTAACCCTCAACACATTCAAATATTGATTTGTTCCATGCCAATAACATGACACACTAGGAAAAACTAACAGTTCCCTAAATTTATGAAGATCTAGCTCCTTACTGTCCTTGGCATTAGTTTTAGAGCTCATTGTGATCTTATTTTTTTTTGTATGAGTTTGTCTTCGTTTACATCAGGGGTGTCCAACCTTGGCAATTTTAAGACTTGTGGACAGCTTTGCTGGCTGAGGAACTCTGGGAGTTGAAGTCCACAAGTCTTAAAGTTGCCAAGGTTGGACACCCCTGGTTTACATTATACATTGTTTTAAAACAGTAAGTTACCCAAGTTCTTTTAGAGTTGGGTTCCCTTGAAATCAAGTATAAATAAGAAAGCCATGAGTGTATTTCTCCATAAGGGTTCCTCACCTTAATTTCATTTTACCCTTCTAAAGCCATTGAGTATTGAGGAAAAAGCTTTTTTATTAGACATTTAACATTTCACAGGAATAATCCTCAATTAATTGTTAGTAGTGAGGCTTTTCCTAATTGTACACCAGATGTATATGAATATGTAATAAACCTTAAGAAAAAAGAGCACAATTTCACATATGGAGATTAAAATCAGATAAAAATGTATTTATCACTTCTAGGAAAACTGAGGTCACAACCCACCCGCAGTGTTGAATGCAATTTTATGTCCCTGGAGGATTCTATCATTATTGTGAAAACTGATGACAATTTCCCACTTATATTCTCAGGGTGAATCATTCAACTTGCAGTTTCAGAGCCTCACACAACTATCCCAAGATCACTTAAAAACAATAATTCTTCTCACCATTTTAAAATGGGACACAAACTCCCAAAATATAGTCTTACTTTTGAAAAATTACTATTTTGGTTGCAGAAAATAACTACTGTAGTTTTATTTATAACAAATTTCTACCTTGTACTTAATTTCATGGGCAACTTGCTTGTTTTTGTGACTAGCCAGACCCACATGGCAACCATTTCTTCAAATTCTGAAATATATGGGACTGATGACTTCTGCTTTATAACAATAAGATAAAATACTTAATGGATATTTTATTGTACCCAAGGAACTCTTTATTTTTACATCAAAATAGAACAATGGTTTATACAATATTTAGTAAATCAAAGATATTTTACACAAGAGTCACAGAAACTTTAACAGAACATAGATTTCAAGAAGGAAACTTGTTGCAAATTTATTTTTCTTAATTTTTTAATAAATAGGCCGCATTCAGAAAAAAATGAGTTACATAGTAAAACTTCTGAATACTGTATTAAGTTTTCACAATATGAATACCACCGACTATGCTACAGGAAAATAATGAAGAGAAAAGAGGTCAATGATTGCTATATGTCACAGCAGGCTAACTATTATGCACAGCATGTCAGTAGGTCAGTTGTAATGAAACTCATTCATAAGTTTAATATGAATTTTGCACACATCTTACTACTTCACAAACTAATATTTCCATTAAACCTCACTTCATCATGCCCAGAATTTTTGTATACATTCTAAGCATTTCCTCTACTTCTTTCTCTAGCATACTTTTAACAGCCTATGGGAGTGTGCAGAGGGAAAGTAAGATACAATTCTTGCTAACCTGTGAATAACTATTGAATGACCTATGAAAGCAACATTGATACATGTTCAATCTCTTTCTCTTGATCTCCCCAATAGTGAGAGGTCCAACAAACCCAGGCAATATCATCCACAGCTTATTATATCTTATACATCAGGAACACTATCTGCATATAAGGCTAAATCAACAATGAATCAGCTACTGAGAATAGCCTTGTTTTTCATTTTTCTTGCCTACTGGCTACTACTGCTGTTGCCATTATAAAACAGTCCTATAACCCTGTTAGGTCAAAACAAAGACAAACAGAAAATTGTTTTCAGACTTTAAAAAATATGGTATCCTAAAAACACTGAGCCCTTAAATATTTGAAAATGATTTTATGCCTTGATCCTTGCTTTAGAATGTTAAAATATTCTACTGAAACTGTACCAATTATACCCACATCAGTTACACCTCAAAAGATGTCTTGCATTGTTTGGCAAAATTGTCTATTGCTGACTGAGAATGGCTTACTAAAATAACACTTTCCTTAGACTGGCAAGGATTAAACTTCTACAAGCAAAGTAGATGCTCTACCTCTCAACAATAGCCGCATTCTACACTTTTGCTATGGTTGAGTATCTGCTTTCCATATTCCCTAAGGGAGTAAAGTTTACACTCACCATGCTAAATTAAATCCATAACACATCATATATTTCTAATTTTACAGCTTTTTAAAAAGTAAGAAACAGAACCAAATAGCTAAAAATAAGGAGTTTAGCAACATCTTTTCCAACTAACAAATGATGTTGAAAGGCATGAACCGTGGTGATAAGGAATGCGCTTCTGAAGCTTTCACTTGATCTAATTTTGATGCAGCTCACAAAAAGCTTATATTTCTATTCAATACACTTCCTGTTAAGCACTATATTCAAACAGGTACCCCCAGTGTTCTACTCTAACTCGAGAATTTTGGGCAGTTCTTTCACAAATTCTACAAACTCAATACTGGTTATGAAACATCCAATTGAAATGCAAGTGTGTGCATAGCAACAGGAGGGATTGCAAATGTCATTCTTTACTGACAGCATCGGGAAGAGACTGGAAAAGATCCAATTAGGAAAATTACAGGACACAGGAAGCAAAAGTAGGGATAGCAGTGTGACCAATATATACAACCAAGCAACAAAACGGAGTGACTTTTACAGTGCAAGGAAAATAATGTGGAAATCAAGACACACACACAAAAATCATCTCTTATACTATTTTCATCTCATGAGCCTTGGCAGAGGTTACCCTGCTCTACTGTCTCAAGAAACGTGATTATAAACATCCATTTTGGATCCGCTAGAAAGAAGAGAGCCATTTGATTCACGCAAAACATCTCCAACCCAACCTACCTAATGCCATGATTTAGTATTAACCTTCCAAGCCTTTTCCCCCATGCCGGAAGAAAAAGGCAGCGCACCCTTTTGCAGTTTATAAAACCTTTTAGGCCTGCTTTAAGAAACGGGGGCTGAATTCAGAAGGAAATAAGCGCCACTTATCGAGCCCATTTCACCGAAAACAGGCGGGAGAGTGTCAACACTCCCCCCCCACCTTCCCTTCCCTCTCGAACATTGAGACGTCAGAAACGATGCCTAAGGAAACCCGGGGGGTTGTATAATCAGGCGCCAGTGCGCATGCGCATCGACTCCGACTTTTGGGGTGGGGGGGGTTGAGAAGCGATCAGCTCCATCCAAGGAGCCGCCGCCACCTCCGCCTCATGCCCGCTCACCTCCACCGGTTGATTCCCACGTTGGAGGATCCCGCGAACCAGGGGTCCAGGATGTAGACGCAGCGCACCGTATCGGCCCCCTCGATGACTTCCCTCAGCGCTGGGTTGTCGTGGAGTCGAAGCCCCTTGCGGAACCAGTGCACCGAGTTCACCCCCATTTCCGACAGCCGGGCGGATTCGCCGGGGGTGGGTTGGTGGGCGGTGTGGCGAGCGGTGGGGTCGGCTGGTCAGGTGGAAGAGCGTCGCCGGCTGTTCAGGAACGAGCGAAGTTGCCTTCGCGGCTCATGTCGGGATAGAACCCGCTACTTAAGAAGGCGAGGGCGGAAGATTCCGCTCGAGCGCGTCTCTCTTAAGCCCCGGTGGAGGCAGCGGCTGCGGCGGTGGAAGCAGCGGCTTTGGTGGAGATGGCCGGCAGATGGAAACGCATCACCCCCTTTTTCCTCAGCCTCGTATGTCCACTCACAGCAGGGGAAGGAGCCCCACAGCGTTCCGTAAACGCGGCGGCAAAGAAAGAGGGAGCGGCTCGGTCGCTGGGCTTCTTCTTCCTCCTCGCTTCTTCCCTCACCAAAGCCAAGTCTCGTCTCGCCTCGCCTCACCAACCGAACGACCTACCCCCTCTCCTCGCCGCTCGCCCTGTGACTCTACGCAGCTCTGCTGAATGACGCGATACCGAGCCCCACCCTCTTCCCCTCATTGGCCGACGGCTCCACGTGATCGCCGCCGCCTCACGTTTCTCAAATGTGTTTTGTCTGGTGGGCGAGAGGCGGGTGGGCCTCGCCGGGTTCCGACGTCGCCACGGCGTTATGCAAGACGCGGCCCGAAAGAAAGAGGCGGGAGCGAGGGTGGGACGAAGGAGGCAAAGCGAGTGCTCGCCAAAAAAAAGCGAGGACAAAGAATTGGGGGGGGGGGTGAGTGGCTCTTTTGACCCACCCCTCTGTCCCCAGAGCAAAAAAAAAAAAAAAACATGGGGTGAAGCGTGGAGGCTTCCATGAAACGCGTTGGTTTTAGGGCACTCAGACGAATCCGGCGAAGATCCGTGTATAATAAGCACCGGGAACCAGTGTATCTCCTTGGCGCTTCCCAAAACGTCCCCTTTCTTTTCCTCCCACTTTCCCGCGCTTCTTTCTGGATTGGGATGCCTGGACTCTGCGTGTGCCCACCTGCAAGGTTGCAGCAGTCAATGAAAGCCAACAGAGAACGAGAATCGGAGTCTTCAAAGATCTGGCGAGCGCGTTAACGTGCATCTTCCTGGCTATAGTTGATCATTACACAATACCGTTATGAAATGGCCCATTGCAAATGATACTCTGTGTGTTTGCAGACTATCACGTTAACTGCCCCGCAGTTGGCACATGAGACCTTAAAGACGATATTCACCGATTAAAAACAAATAATGCAATAACAAGAGTGCGTCTGTTACATTTTACAGAATCAGACTTGGAAATTCCATTGGACACGGGTTTGTATGTGAACATACATAGGGACAATACAATAAATGTCTCATAACTGTGAAACGTGATTTAATACCGTATAACAATGGACTTGATTCTTATGGAGAAGCTAACAAATACCATACTATTGCCTAACATTGTGCACAAATCCATAATCTTAATCTAAATAATGAAGATACCAATGTTAGATCTGAATTTGTAGTAACCCTAGGGAGTTACAAAACACAAGCATTTCTCCATTCTGTGTGGAAAAGATTTTTGAACCATATAGGATATTTTTTTAAGTCAGATGCAGCCCATAATCCATCCCTAGTTTAAAGGATGTAAGACAGGTAATGTAGCATAATCAACTTTATTTTCCAGTCAACAGAATACGTAAGAAGTTCAGGGGAAATGACTAGGAAGGAGGTACTGTGAACTACAACATCAACTGCCTATGGCAGTTGCCTCATGCTCCCTAATGGTAGAGATTAATTTAACTATAGAGGTATTTAGACTAAGAAAAAGGGAAGAATAAAATGAAACCACCTTAACATTTGTATGATTGAGCTCTGAATTTATTGATAAGAATAGCGAATGTACAGTGGATTCTTTACTGTTAGAATAAAATCAAGAAAGACATTTTAGAATTAACCTCAGTGATGCCACTTAAAATGGACGATAAATAACTCCCCTGTTAATTTTCCTTTTGAATGTTTCAATTGCATCTGTTTGGAGGAAAACAGATAATAGTACTAGGAAAATATTAAGGAAGATACTTTAAATAAGCTTTAAAAAACTGAACAAGTCTTAGAATAGTAGATTTCAGATAGATACTGCATATATCATTCTTTGACTATCATCTCAGATTAATGTCTGAGCAATTTTTTTTTCTGCACAAGGTTGAATTTATCAATAGATTTGGCTTTATACTGTATAATTTTCAATTTATAATATTATCCTGTGCACAGAAATTATATTTAAAAATTTAAATACAAAATATAGTTATGTGATTTTCTATAATGCACATTTATCGGGTTGGAATGATACATTTTAATTATTGAACATTGCACAGAAATACTTCTGTTTTTCAGTTAAAAATTTATGGATTGTTAAAATTAAGTTATGTACCCTGGATACTCCTACAACAGATTAACATTGCTTCTTCTCTGCATTCATGTTTCTTTTTTCTGAAGCCGCTTAAGAATAGAGTATTTGGTTCAGCTGTGATAAATATTGTTTGTGCATCCCATTTTTATATAGATATGACAGCATTTTTAAGGTTGCAGCATATACTGCTAACTAGATTTATCCAGTAGATTGCATGCGACCCCATATCCAATCTGAAGGGCAAATGATTCCAGAGTATATTGCTGTCTCTCTTTCCACTCACTCAATTTTCCGTGTGTGAGGACATAGACAACCGGAGGAAGGCTTCAAGTGCTTTCCTTCTGTTACACAAGATGAATGGCAGGTAAACCAGTAATGATTGTGAGCCACCCAACATCTGGAATTGGAAAAAGCATGAGGGCTTTCCTTCCAGCTGATGTTTTGCTTTGTTTACATTGAACATTTTCTCCTCATAAGGAAAAGGGAACAGGAAAGCATCGGGCTTCTCCCAGACTCAAACTAGAAGGCTAGCTGGCAGGGATTCAGGAATATAATTTTTAATCAGATAGCTTTTATTTCAGGTAGTATAAAGGCCTTCTAGTGCAAAGAACATCAGGAACTGCAAATGGTTACTATTCAAGATAGATAGATAAAACCTGAAGTTTGAAATTTACCTATGTTTCCTTCTCCCATCACCATTCTCCCATAAGTAAATATGTCTCTTTCACCCATCACCATTCTCCTATTACATAAGGTAAAAAGCTGATACTTTTCCATTTTTTTGCTAAGAACCAATCTAAGTTTCAAGCCCTTTATTTATTATTTTGCTCAATCTAAACTGCTCAGCAAAGTGGACAACATCTCTTCAGGGCAGTGTTGGCTCTTGCTCTACTCTGCTTTTTCCATAGAGGTTGCCATCTCAAACTTGAAGCATCTACAGCAATGATGATAGGTGAGGAGAGAGGGGAATTGTCTCTCAACCTTCTGTAAGTCAGAATGCTTAGCTGAGTAGAGTTCCTTCATCTTTCTCACAGTTGATGCATAGCCTTCTATTTTTAAATTCTTTGTTTATTTAAACAAACAATAACCAAATATTTTTTCATCAGCCACAACCTTAACTGTATTCTTCTTTTGTGATCTTACTTTATATCTTAGCTCATGATAACCTTATGGAAATTGGAAAAATATCAGAATAAATATAAAATAGTCCTAATATTGTATCTGCAAAAGTTATCATTTACTTTTATCCCACCTTTAATACTTTATAAATACCAGTAATTCAAGGCAGTGGATCCTCATAATACTCTTTTTCCCACAACAGCGACCTTGTGAGTTGAGTTGAGCTGAGTGCATGCCACTGGCCCAAAATCATCCAGTCAGCCTGAGGAGGGACTAGAATTCAGTCTCCTGGATTCTATGTCAGCATCTTAACTACTACACCAAGCATATTATAATATAGTAACACTGTGGCATGCAACCTAATATTCTTTTTGTTGGGTCTTCGTGTCATAATTTACATTCTCTTTAAAAATATGCTCTTTTTCTCTCTTTTATGATGATGAAACCTTCAAAGTCTATGCTTCACAAGTATTTGACCCTTTGGTCCAGGAACTGCCTTGCCCATAAAGAACCACCTGGGTGACTATATTGAAAACACATGTTACATTTAACAAAAATGGTGCTTAGTAGTATACTAATAGGCTACTGAATGTACCATTCCAAGGATTATTTGATCTGTATTTTTATGGTAAAACTGCTTCAGGCTTAGAAAGCCAGATTCTTCCTAAACAAACAAAAAATGAGACAAAGATGAGAAGAAGAGCATTTCATTCACTGACAAAGTAGATGTATTCCAAACCACTGCAGCACACTTAGTAATTATCTGCCTGCTGAGATTCTTACTTGTATGGAGTTATGTTAGCAGACACTGGTAGACCTTTCTGGTAAATTTCCCCATTTTTGCTCCTTATCACATGCGTAGCATTGCTATATAACCAAAAAGTCTCTATGAGAGAATGTTTTCATATTTTCGGTACTGCTTTCCACAAACCTGGTATAAATATTTTACATAAACTACACAAATTATAGATAGTAAAAAGTATTTTTCAGGGATATTTTTCATTTGTAAATATGTATCAATTTAATCATACAATTATGTATAGTCTAATGCACACGATTGCAAATGCAGGTAGTCTACAACTTACAGTTTGTTTAGTGACCATTCAAAATTACAATGGCACTGAAAAAAGTGACTTATGACCATTTTCCAGCATTTTGACCTTTGCAGCATCCCCATGATCATGTGATCAAAATTCAGATCCTTGGCAACTGATTCGTATTTATGACCATTGCAGTGCCTCAGGGTCATGTATCCACCTTGTGACCTGACAAGCAAAGTCAATGGGGTAGCCAGATTCACTTATCAACTACAATGATTCACTTAACAACTGTGGCAAGAAAGGTCATAAAGTGAGGCAAAACTCACTTAACAAATGTCTAGTTTAACAACAGAAATTTGGGGCTCAATTGTGTTCGTAAGTCGAAAGCTACCTGTACTGTAGAATGCTTGTAGCAACTACATTCCATTTTATTTATGTATTCTAAACAACTCAATCATTCTGAAAAAAACCCTTCCAGGTTGGTTTAAAATAAATATTTGCAACAAAAATAATTATAATTGAACAAAATTAGTTGCATACATATCTTCTTTTATTTGCAAGACTGATTCCATACAACCCATAAGAACAAAACCATAGAGTTAGAAAGAGTTACATATTCTCACTAAATTTAAAATCATTAAGCTATATCTTTGCTGGATGGAATAAATGATGGCCTTGATCCTGCTCTTAAATAAAGGTAGACAATAACAGGAAGTACTTGATGTGGCAAACATCATTAGATTAGGCAAGGCCAGTCTACCTTCATTTATTTTCCAGGAAAATAAGCCTACACCCAGTAATCCCCGACCATTGCAATGGTTTCTTTAAAAAAATTCTGTGTCATGCTTGGGAAAAGAAATATTTCTACACGTCATTTTAGCATGTATTTACATTTAATATCACCTTTGTAACAGATGATTTAATGACTAAATCTATTGATTTTATGACAGTGGTGAAGACTAGAGATCATTCAGGTGTCACAGACTTCTTATATGAAGAACAGTTCTCCATGGATTCGTACGATGATGTTATCCATTAAGTCATGTCCAACTATTGGTAATTCTATGCGCCAAGTCTCTCCACATCTTCCAATCTTGCGCTGTTTCTTTTGATTTTTCGATGTTCTGGCTGGTGTCAGCTTTGATGGTGTCCATCATGTTCTTTGGTGGCCTGCTTAGATGACTCTGGTCAAGATATAGTACTAATTTCCAATTTTACATGGGATACATAGAATATTAATAAGAATAATTCCGAAGCTTCTTTCCAGTCATGGATTTCCAATCAAGTTCTAGGAATAAGAGATCTCAATATTTGGCTGTGCAAGTAACAAATAGCAAGGATGCTATCATTTGTTAATTGAATTTTACATCTACTGGCCAATGACAGAAATCAAGAACTGACTAAGTACAATGATACCAAACAGCTAACATTATTTAAAGAACATGAAGGAAGGGAGAAATATCTAAACATGAAATTATGTTAAAGTTGAAAGCATAATAAAACCTATAATTTTCTTATCTTACGGTTGTGTTATGACGTTAGTGCAAGGTGGTGCTATTCCGTGGGTTTTTTAATTATGTGCTTTACACCTTTATACGTATGTTTCTTGTTAAGTTTCTCAATAGTCTAATACTTCTTTGCATCTCCTATACAATTAAGTTTTATGATAATTGGAATCTCTACATCTAGTATTGTGACTATTACATTGGCTTAAAAGTATATTACTAACTTTTAAATTGGGAAGTTATATACAAAGCTGTATGTTTGATGGATTCAGAAAGGAAACTTTCATTTTGTTTTAATGCAAATTAAAAATAAGGCTCCAATGAATGTTTTTACAATGTCAATTAAATGAGCCAACTGAAGCAACTGTCAGTTTTAAGTTGCAATTTACAGACCAGCTGTTGATTGCCATGAGATGGATGATATTGTGGAAACCTTGTACCATTGGCATATTGAAGTCCCAATCAAGTATATTATAGTTCATGGAGAAATACCTGTGTGATCACTGAAAGTTCTTTTGATCCACCTATCCCGCCAGTGGTGTTCCATTGGTGTCAGGGCCAAAATTGGGCATTCTTTGATGTGTTTGCAATGGAGCATTGGTGGTTCCATCGGATCATTATGATATAAAAGTTTTGTCATTTCCCTTGCCAGACAATGCTATGTTCTACTTTCAGGCCATAGTTCCCCAAAGATTCAAATAAAGTTTAGCACATTCGGAAAGCTATGGAGTTGAGTAAAACTTCCAGCCATGTATAAAAAACATCTGTATTCTCCTATAGTAAATTTATTTGAAATTAAAATGCACATGTGCAAATACACTAGATGAAAATAAATGAGTAAATGAAACTGTAAAGTTAAAGAGCTACTGAGGTGGAACAGGATCATTATGGATCTTGCCTTAATGAATCCCACTCTATTTTTCTGTCTTGTTATGACCAAAACATTAAAATCTGCATTTCTAAATTATAATAAATTGCAGCATTGGCTTATGAAATTTTCCCAAGTGTCCAAACTATGTGAAATAAACCAGCACATAATAAATTCCTGTATGGAAATTCTAATTAGAACTGATCATTATTGTGAAATCCTGGCATGCAGGGAAACCCAACCTTGATTTCAAATGGCTTCCTCACCAAACAAAAAACAAAAAAAACAAAAAACCCAAAGCAAAACAACTTCTAATAACCTCATATTCCTTTTCTATATTATTTTTCTAATTTTATACATTTTGGTAGCAAAGGTTTGCTCCTAAGATATTCCATACATTACTGTGTAGATAGATATTGCAATGTAAACAGTAACTAACAACAGGAAATGCATCTGATTAAATTATTAGTAAAATTTATGTTGCAATCCGAATGTACGTCTGTGAAGTTATTCTTCAGCATAAACAAAGTAACCCACAATACAATCCAGCTGCTTTACAAACATCCTAAGGCTTGTTGAGATCATTTTTGTAAAGTATAAACAAGCCTTTGTGGGAGTGACACCACGCTTGGCCAGTTCCGCTTCAACAACAATACAGAATGAGGTAAAAACTTGTATTGGGAGCAAGGAACTTTGCTAATGAGAAAGTCCTGATTCCTTCCTTCCTAGGAGGAGAAGGACGGGGAGGAAGAAGGAGGAGAGCTGGATGGAGACAAAACACATTCATACAACACAGAATAAGAACTTTTTTAAAAAAAAACTTATTTGGTCTGCGGCTCTGCTGTAGAAGCGGGGAGATTTCAATACATCTATTCATTTCTGTCCCTACTTTTTTGATACAAAAACTAGTATTAGAATAAATCGTTTAAAAAGTTTTTAAAAATCGTCTGAATAGATTTTGAAGAATATACGATTTAAAAGCACTTAAACAAAGCCGAATCGGAAATGGTTTGTTCCACCATCGTAACTCCCCCATCTCGAGCATTGGTATAGCTCAGGAACGTGACCTGTGACGCCAGCAGCCTATTTTCTGCAGCTGCCACCCGGGGTAAGGCGTCACGGTGGTTTCTTAGCTAAGGAACCTCGGGGTGTCCAGGGGAGGACGGCGGTGCTGGGTCAAATGAGCAAGGGGGACAAGGCGTGCTCGTTTGCCTGGGACAGGATCAGGGCCGGCTGCTCCTAGGCAGCAGGAGGCGATCCTATTGCATTTTCATCAGGGGTAGATGCGCTCTTATTGCGTGGATTTCGTTTGTCCGGAACGTGTGTGTATGCTCGCCTCGAAAGGAAGGCAAGACTCGGTATCGGTGTCGAGATGCTTCGTTTTGTTCGCAAAGTTACAGTGTCGTCGAGCTCCTGCCGGGACTTTTGGCGCATTGCAACCACAAACAAGCCTGACTCCCTTCAGCCCCCATTTTGAGACCCCTGGCTGTGTGATTTCGCTAGCCAGGTTGAATTAACGCAGGATTGAGTTAGACATGCTCAGGGGTGCGATGCACATGTAATCGTTGTCATTTATTAACTGCGATTGCCGTTTTAAACTGAAATCAACGTTTTGATGGGCAAAGTTGAAATGCTTTAAATTAATAAAAATGGGAAGGAGGAAATCTCAACCTGTTGCGGTATCTTGTTAGGGATTGCTATTAAATGCTGTCAATGACACAGTGGTGGCTTCATTAGTTGGTATCTGAACAGGAAATTCCCAGGAACCTCCAGAAATGTAGATTCTTTTTTTAAAAAAAATCTGTTAGTATTACAGTGTTAAGAAATTCATATTAGCCTGCCCACATAGACATCAGTAAATGAGTCTGATTCGAGGAAAGTTTTACTTTTTAAAAATGTAAGTCTTCCCACTTAAAGATTGCATAATGCCACTATGTCAAACAAAGGTTTGAAAAGTCTGAAAATGCCTTCAAAATATTGGCAAAAAATGAAAGAAAAGAAACTTGCTAGATATACAATCAGAAAAGATATTTTCCATTATTCCTATGGTAATGGTTGCTTCTACTCTTCTATTTGTTTTCATATTCTTTTCTCTTGTTTACCTGGCATGCAGGAGCCAGAAGAGTTGTGTGATCAAAGAGAAAATAAGGCAGGAAATAAGAGTACAGGGGTGTTATTTTGTTTAAATCTGTTTACTACCTACATTACAACAAAAGAAATATGTCTCCTTTGACCTTTGCTGCTACTTAACATTTAGTTATCTGCATATCATTGCAATCCAGTTTTTACATAATTTAATATGAATTGGAATGGGGAGTTCAGGATTTTTATTAAATAGGCAAAAATATTTTAAGAGGCAATGAGGGAAGAATTCATCAATCAACTGTGTTACAATCACTTTATTTGAAGAGAAAGGATTTAGATGACACTAGATAACCCATGCCCCATTGGACCATCATTTTAGAGATATTTCCTTAAGCAGAGAAACAGAATGACCAAGGATGGGCAAAAAAGCAGTCGTGGCAGAAGTGACTTCTGACTTCCTGTCAGCTTCCTCATTGAGTTTCCTTGTGAGGATTTGATAGGGAAGATTGGAAATCTCCCCAGCCAGCAATTAAGTGGCTGCTGCTAGGGGAGGACAGAGTGAGGAATTGCCAGATTGGCTGGGAAATTCATGGAATGTTCAAAACGAAGATCATGTAACCATAGTAATAGTAGTGCAGTGGCAGTCAGTAACAATGAAGCAGCCGTAATTTCCCATTTTTATTCCCTCATGAATCATTGGTCCTGAATTTTAAACAGATTCTGTAAGTTAGCCCAATCTGAGGTGACTTGGTTCAAAAATGGTTGCTCTATGATACATCCTTCTGCCCAATTAAAGGTCATGATGAGATTTTAATAATATACAGTCTTCCAGTTAAGTCCTGCCTGCTACCTCGTTATATTACTATTTTTGCTTCAATAAAGATCAATTGAGAAAAAAGAATAGTTGCATACTCTAGTCATGTATCTGGGATTATTAAGATTATTGAGAATTGTTTTTCTTGCTCTCCCCCCCCCCAAGTTTGAATTTGATATAGCATTAATATCTTGTGCTTTGGTTCTTACAGGCCTTTCCTGATGTGATTGCTTGACCATAGAATAAAATGGCTTATATTGTCCCAAATTTCTATATGCATTTTTTGACGAAATCTCAGCCCTGCCTAATATTGGCAGCTCCATCAGTCTTCTGGTATCAAAGAAAGAATGGACACCTTTTACAGCATTTGAAATATGCCATGGATACTTCTTTAGGAGAGGAGAATAAATTCACTGTAGAAAATCTGTCCAAATTATCAGTGGATATAAAGAAAATCCGTAGGCTAAAGCCATGGGTTCTGTCAAAAGAGGTGTCATATATCAAAGAAATAGCTAATATTTTGCAAACAATTGGAGTTGATGGACCTTCATTAGCACATATGTTTGAATGCTATCCTGAAGCCATTCTTTGTAATCCTACCAGTATCACTTGTCAAAGAGATCTGTGGTTATCTGTCTGTCAAAATGAAAAGCAGTTAGTGGAGTTAATAAACCGATTTCCAGATGCTTTTTTTAATGTTGAACATTATGAAAATCAGAAGGCCAACATTAGATTCTTCAAAGCACTGGGGCTGAAGACTGCTATCATCCGCCGGTTTTTAACAAGTGCATCAAATATTTTTTACAACCCTGTTGAAAAGAATAAGCATGTGATAGAAACTCTGCAAAGAAACTATTTAAGATTAGGTGGTTCACAGGAAAATTTGAAAAACTGGCTACTGAAATTATTGAGTCAAAATCCATTTATTTTATTAAATACTTCTACTACTGTCCAAGAAAACCTGGAGTTTCTTCAGAACAATCAGTTCACTGATTCCGAAGTTTTATGCCTGTTGTCCAAGCTCAAAGGATTTATTTTTCAACTTAATCCTAGCAATATGCAGAGTAGCCTCTTGTTTTCAAAGACCATCTTCAATTGCAGTGATCAAGAATTAAAAGAGCTAATATTACAGTGTCCTGCCCTTCTCTATTATTCAGCTTCAGTTCTGAAGGAAAGACTAGATGAATTCTTGAAGGAGGGAATTTCTATAGAACAAATTAAAGAGTCTCCTGCTGTTTTAGAATTATCAACAGAGATAATTCAGTATCGAATTAAAAAATTAAATGCCCTAGGATACAGTCTGAAGAATGGAACTTTAAAATATCTCAATGGAACAAAAAAAGATTTTGAAACTACATATGGAAAGATACAAGCAAAAAGTGAGAGACCTATATATAATCCAGTGGCTCCTTTGAATGTTGAAGATTAGTTTCCAGAACCTGCTAAATAAAAAGTAAGGACCAGTTTGTCTTTCACAATTCAAATAAATTGGATGTAATTGCGACTTAGAAATTGATTTTTTCCCCTCTGAATCAGTGTTTCTAAATATGCAATTGTCATGGAATTCATTGGATCAGACTGAAAGGCTGTCTGATCCAATATATTTTTCCTATAGTAGCCAAGCATATTTGTATGTGAAACCTACAAGCTAGACACCAGTCCAATAGCATCCGCTGGTCATGTTATCTAGGAACTAATATTAAAAGGCATTTTTCTGATATAGAAGTAATACATAGCAATTATGCCTAGAAACTACCAAGTCTTATATTCCATGGATTCAATTTCTCTTCAAAACAAATGTAAGCCATGTGAGATAGGATTCTATAGTTTCATGATGCATGAAATACCTTTATTTGCATCTTTCACGTTAGGAAATAAATATTTTTCTATTTTCTGCATATCTTGTGTAAATGTAGGCTTTTTAAAATCATATAGAGGTGTTTTTGTAAATTATATAATTTGTATAAGAGTATTATGGGATTGTCAACAGAATATATACATTATTTAGGAAAGGGAATGAACTTTTAAACTTCTGCCCTGATAGACAAGATGCACCTAGCATTGGTTTAAATTATAATAATATCCTTGCTTTATGCAATATTTAAAATAAAATTTACACATATTGGGAATATATTCAATATATTTAGTTTATTTAATAAATTAGTCGGTTAGATTATGCATAATTGAGTGATATGTAATCCTTGCTAATTAGAAATATCTTCTTGACTATTATGCCGTCAAGTCAGTGTCAAGTCTAAGTAACCACATAAACTATGCATGATTTATTTTACCAATACACTCTGTGGCATTTTAAATTGTTTGGAATAATTAACCTGGTACATATGCATTCAATGATTTTAGGACTGAAGACAGAAGGAACAGAATGGCACATCTCACAAGAAGCCTGGCTTTGAATTTGCATGTAGCACATACTGTCTATTTAACTATACTATTTTCTTCCTAAATATCAAGTATGATAACTTTTAATATTTAGAACTGCATGAAAATTTAAAAAGAAACCCATGTATAGAAATGGTGTGGGGCCCTGGATTTTAGTATTATTTATTTCATAGATTCTTCTCAATTGTCCCCCAATAATTTCTTCAGCTTATTGCTGAAGGATATGAGATCAAGAATCAATACAAAAAAAAGGGGTGATATTTCATTACGTTGCTCTGTTCATCAGTAAAAAGACACTTTATAAGGATCAGTGGGTGTATCTGGAAAGCATCTCACAAAGTAGTTGGCATGGGAATGTTACAAGGCACCCCTTTATTAGAAAGCACAATGAGATTTGCTTCAATGAAAAATAGTTTTGCAAGTATGTTTGAAATGAATAGGAGGGATAAGGAATCTGATAGATGCTAAGAGAAATGCCTGCTGGGGCATATTGGCATTGCTAGCTTACTGATACTAGATCTCTCTATTCCTTATTCTAAGCATATGAACCCAGACACTCTTACCTTAAGATCTCATTTACTATTAAATATCAATGTCACAGAAATACCAAATGTCAGTTCTTAAAAGTTACATCAATATGTTTGTAATTTTTATGCCTGTGGCTAATCCTTCTATCAATATAAATTCCATACGCAAACCGTTCTGTGTTTGGAACACTGGAACCTTTAGTACATATTTCTAAAAATAACGCATACACATTTTATTCTTTTTATATATGTTTTAAGATACACATTTATTAGGGAATTGGTTGAGTAGTAAAATGACAAAGTATCTAAATGCTAGCCACGGTATCCAATATGAAGATTGTCTGATAAACTCTCTAATCTAGGCATATTGTTAATCCAGTCACCTAATTAAATACCATATACAAACTCCTAATTTATATAGTATCATTGATAAAACCTGTTGTGTAATGAAGTTTCTTATTAGTTAAAGCTTTAATGATGCCTTTGGGCCATACAAATATTCTTTATGTTCTGGTGAGCATATGAAGTTGCTTTGCTATCATCAAGCTAGCAAATTCAGGTCAGATACCAACAGCACATTTTTGATAATTCTTTTCAACTAGTAACAGTACAATAAATTATACCAGATTAATTTATGAATATGTAATTTTAGACAAGGGAGCTTTTGGTCATTACTTTTACAAGACACCATCTGTTTTAATCTTGTGTTTATAATCACAACTATTCCAACCAGGTTTGTGTGTTTTTAACACATATTTTAAGAAACATTGCATACAGAATAGTCATGTGAACTTCAGTCTTTTTTAAGGACTACCAAAATGCTACAAATTCAACATGCTACAGAGCTTCTAAATGAAAGATATAAATCCAATAAATCTACAATATAGCCCACTGAGCACAAAGGACTACCAGTACCTATCCTGATTTAATGGATTAGGAACAAGACAGACAGGAAGACATACCCAGGTGTGGATTGCTGGGGGTTCGTAGGGATTTGGGAGAGCCCCTAGCTAAGATTCTATGCAGTTTGGAGAACCCCCAAATCCCACTACTGGCTGGCCCTGCCCACCCCGCCCCTCCCAAGAGTCTCCACGTGGCCTGTTTTGGATGCAGGATGCACGCAGAAGTGCAGGATGCACGCGGAAGGTTGAGGAGGGCGAAAAACGGGCCTCCTGGAAGTTTGGGAAGGCCAGAAATGGGCAGAGGCTCAATGAAAGCCTCTGGAGCTCAGGGAGAGCAAAAACACCCCCCGCACATACACACTGTGGTGCAGGAGGCTGAGTAGGCCATGCCCACCCAGCAAGAGAACCCTTTGGTAAAATTTTTGAAGCCCACCCCTGGACCAGAGGTGGTATTCAGCAGGTTATGACCAGTTCTGGAGAACCGGTAGCGGAAATTTTGAGTAGTTCAGAGAACTGGCAATCCCACCTCTGACTGGAGATTTTACAGTATCCTTCCTCTGCCACGCCCACCAAGCCATGCCCACAGAACAGGTAGTAAAAAAATTGAATCCCACCACTGCCCTGGACATACCTATGTCTTGCTCAGAAAACTTTGAAAAGGTATGCACGAAATACATTTCTCTGCAAATCACTTGTTTCTATCATATTGGTCATGGGTGCCATTCAGCAAACCTACCTGCTGAGGTATTATTTGTAGAAAGTATTTTATGTTAATTATCATTGAAAATATCAAGCACAATTCATCCACCTCTACAAAATCTCTAGCAATGATGGGTGATACTCTGGTAAACAGATTATGCGCAGCAACAGTAGTTACTGTGTTTGCATTATGTACTCAGGAAATAAGATTGTACACATTTGTACCTTGAGGCTAGAAACCACAGAAGTGTTTTTATTTTACAGCTGAAAGTTACTCAATGTTGTCTTAATGTAAACTTGGAATTAATTTTCAGTTAAAGTAACCTAACAACATAAAGGGCTTTTCATTTTGCAGGTGCGAACATCCGTACGCTACACCTGAGATTTAGCAGTCTTTCTTTGTCAGTATCAACAGATAAAAAAAATTGTAAAACTCCTTCTACAGACTGCTTTGAAATGACAGACATTACAAAAACTTTAAAAGATTCTCTAAGTAAAAAATAGATTGTTTTTCACCATAAGGCATGAATGATTTGACTCAATGTTTTATACACACATACATGCGTGTGCGCACACAAACACATCCTTGTGACAGTTGACTTCTAAAGAATTTAGTGTTTATAAAAATAGTTTGAAAAAGCAAGGATACGCAAGGACTCTAGGGAGTTCAAGGACTGTCTTCCAAAAAATATAGACACCATAGGTTTGAAGCTAGAACATCAATATATCTGTATGGCAGAGGCAACCAATTAAGGGCATAATCAGGCTAATATTTAAGCACTTCTAATGCTGAAATTATTTTAAAGGAAGCTATTTTCATCAGAACTGTGAAGTGCTTAACTTTTTAGCAAGTCATTCCCTCCACTTCTATTTTCACATTTTTAATTCAAGATTTCAAAAAGCGAATTAATGTTCAACCGTGAGCCATTCCTTCAGATCCATGTACTTGATTCCTTTTTTTTTTTAATCAAGTGTAACATTTCACCAGACAAGTTCCTGAAGAAATCTAAAGTTTCTGTGATACCAGGCTGTTAATGTCCCTTGCAGGAGAAAGTAATTCTTTCAGTTCTTTAGATATTCCTCCAGAATGGTGACCTTACAGTAGTCCAAATCGTGTAGGTCCCATAGCCACATACGGTCCTCAACAAAACAGAATTTCTTTAATCAGATTTATCCTTTTTCTTCCCAGATAAAGGCACTTTGCTTGAGATAGCAGATCCTACAGCTGTAACACTTCCTGTCACAACTGAAACACTTCCTTTAACTAATCCTATTCCCATGGAAGGCACAGCTGTTACTGCTGTTTTGGTCACTTCAAAGCTTTTTCCTCCTATCCATGCTACACCACCAATTGTGGCACCGACAGCTCCCTTGGTTATGCTGAAAAGGCCGCCAGTCACCCGGGTAAGCATGCCAGGCTGTTGTTGCGGATGATCTTTTACTGAATCTAAAGAAGAGAAACAGTGTAAGTTATTCAGAATTAGTTTAAATGTGGTGGAAATGAAAGTCCCAGTGAAATTTTGCTCTACAACAACTCCTTCTTATGACATATCACCAGCAGAAGAGCATTTTGCAGGGTGGGGGTGAATAGCAAAAACTCTCATCAATATTTTCTAACAATGCAAAAGAAAGTTCTGAGTGAGTTTTGGTTCTTTAATTATCATCATTATTCATTAAGGCAGGGGTATCAAACTCAATTTCATTGAGGGCCGCATCAGAGCTGTGGTTGACCTCGGGGGGCCAAGCGGGCATGGCTGACTGGATGGGTGTGGCCAACTGAGTGAGCGTGACCAGCATGACGCCACTCCTCAAACTGTTGGCATGTTTCCTCTTCGCACTGGGTAGACCGGGCTGAAGTCACGCTGGCCCGATATTTCCTCTTTGCATTAGGTAGACTGGGCCAAACCCACATGGGCCAGCCCCTTACATTTTCCAGGACGGCCCTGCGTGCCAGATCTGACCACATCATAGGCCACATCTGGCCTACAGGCCTTGTGTTTGACACCCCTGAATTAAGGGATTCAGCATTTTTGTGTACTAATTACAGGATAGAAAATAGTTTTGGAGCAGAATCAGGGCTCTCTAGAGATACCAATACAGGAACTGGTTACCATTTGCTGAGTTGAAATATGTTAAACTATGGATTATTTTAATTATGGTATGTTGATCAATAAAATGGCAAAATATAAATCTAAAATATAAATAAGGCACAATGAATACATTCATACATCAGGAAATTACATTATAATTTGTTAATTCCACTCAGGGACCATTTAGATACCTGACATAACATTAAAATTTATTCCTAGAAGATGAATTCAGCATTATAAACTTTTACTACATCTTACTGGGTTAAAAAAGTCAGAATATTATGCTTTCTAGCACTAGTAGAACCAAGCACCTTTCCAGGATAGCAGAAAAAAACCCACTTTGTTTATCACTCCTGTTTCATAACTGAACTTATAGTTCAACTTATTTCAAAAGTTAGAGGTTAATCTAACTCAGAAATCAGAATTCCTGAACCTTTATGAAATATATTATCATGCAATTTAAACAAACAAGAGATAGCTTTTTCACAAAAATCACATCCACTGAATACTTTCCAATGAAAAATCCTTTAAAAAAAGTGAGATAGCTGTTCAGACATTGTTAAACTACATTGTCCACCACAATCAGCATAGCTAGAAACATGCATATGTATGTGTGCTTATACATATACACAACACACACATACACAGACATACAGTCTATGTATCCAAAATGAAAGAAAGAAAACATATTTTGAGAATCATGTCCACTTTATGTGTTAACCTCTCTTAATAACAAAACCATTTTCTGAGAGTGGAAAGCAGGTATACAATTAGATTCCATGTGAACGGAAAGTCAATGACAGCAGAGAGTCTGAAAAAAGCCAGACTGCCTTGGAAGTCTGGATAGGACAGGTTTCATTTGTGCAAGTAAATCATCTACTTGCAATTATAAATTAACAAGTCATTTGGTTCGAAACCAAGCTGCATGGGTTTTCAAAGTAATGCTCCCTTTTCAGCAGCAATATCACATGGCATAAGCTATTTTAAAAAGACAATATATTAGGAGAGCAACATAATATAACAGATTCTGCATAACCTTGGGTTATTTTAACTATTATTAGTTTGGATATTTAATCACGAGAAAAGCGGACTAGTAATTTTAGTGTGTTGTCATGATGTACCATATTTTTTGTACTATAAGACGCTCCAGACTATAAGATGCACCTAGCTTTTGGGGAGGAAAATAAGGTGGGGGGGAATCTGGCTCTGCCTCCCAGCAATTTGCCTCCTTGCAGCAAACAGCCTGGTCAACTTCAGCACAGCCTGATTTAGCACGAGCAGCTGATTGGCGGTTGGATCAGCCTCCTGGAATACCGCCAATCAGCTTTTCCAGGCTGCAAGGCTGCAGGGATCGCAGCCACCCATCGCTGCCGCTGCATATCATGCTCCATTTTGGGCCTCCGCGTGTCCTATTTTCAGCCCATTGCAGGCGGCGGGGATTGCTGCCGCCACCGCCACCTGGAACAGGCCAAAAACGGGATGTGCGAAGGCCAAAAACGGGATGCGCAGAGGCTGAAAACAGGACGCACAGAAACCGCCAATCAGCTGCTCGTGCTAAATCAGACTGTGCTGAAGCTGACCAGGCTGTTTGCTGTTTGGAGGAAGAGGCTGATGGGTGGGAGCCAGTGGGTAGGTGAGGCTTCGGCAACATTTGCTCCATAAGACGCACAGACATTTCCACCCACTTCCACCCATTAAGTGTGTCTTATAGTGTGAAAAATACGGTAGCTATTGGGTGACCAAATTATCCTTCAGCAAGCAAAACACAGCAAACACATCTTTAAAAGTAAAAGAAAAAAGCCATTTTGTTTGTAATTTACAAAGTCAGCTTTGATCATGAAATTAAAATCTGCTTATAGAGAATAGAACAACAATTTGAAAATAACAATTTACTACACCATCTTTGAGCAAACAGCATTGTTATTGTAAAATATACCTTCTGGGGGCTCACTGTTAAGATATGGAGGCACATCTTGCTCATCCTTCTCTGTCTGGTTCATTATTGCCTAAAAATAAGGAAATGTATAGTTTTTGGGTTAGTCCAGCTCTTTTTAATGTTCTTTTGAAAACTTACTCACTAGCAAGTCAATGAAAGCATACGATGGGACATGTTTTTCATAGCAGTCCAATCACCAATACAATACTTTATGGGTGAGGGTGGAGGTTCATTGTCTGAGCTTGTGGGTTGGTTTCTGTATGTTTCGTTACCAGGCTAGGTAACATCTAGTAACGATATGTTTGGAAACCAACCCACAAGCTTGGAGAACGAACTTCCATACTCATCCTATACCCGAGCTACATATATTTTCCACTATCACGTGTGTTATGGGTATTAAGAACTAATATTCTAGAGTAGGGCTGTCAAACTCTCAGCCTGTGGGCCGGATGTGTCACACGCTGGCCACGCCCACACCTGGTTTAGAGAAGGGGGGAAGTCCTGATATGTCACGTGATGCTGCTGCGACCGATGTGAGTTTCACACCCCTGTTCTAGAGCATTGATGGTGAACGTATGACACCCCATAGCTGACATGCCACAGTGTTTTGGGTGACACACCAAGTGTTTAAAAACCTACATTTACCAACATCCAACAATTGTTCTCAAAAGCACATCTTGCTATTATGTGATTTTCTAAGACTAGATAACCATGGGGTATGCTCTTGAGCGGCCTCTGGAGTGTCCAAAAATTCTGTAAGAAAAGGGTATGCTTTCGCACAGTTTACAGAGGCTGCAGAACAGCATTCTCTGAAGCCGAAGCCACTTCAAAAATGAAGACCTTGGGTAGAAGCCTTGGGCAGGATGCAGGGGCCTGTTAGCAGAAAGAGGACACTGCCTGAAGGTTAGCAGCACATGGCAGTTCCTGGGGAATGGTACAAGGTGACCAATGAGGAAGAAGAGAGAGAATCGTTTCTCTTTTGTTTAGTATGTCTATATAAGATATGCCAGCAGAGCCATGTTATGCATTTTATGAATTTTTGGAACACCAAGCCCAAAAGATTCACCATGACTATACTACTCATGCTATATAATAATATGCCATGTCCAATGTTTCCTCCAGGTCCTAGGATATAAGCTTTAATGTGGAAAATAATTTTTTTTTATCTAATTCAGAGTCAGGATTTCAAACAGGTTGTCAATTGAAGAATTTCTTAAAGCCTGCTTACTAGAGCTAAGGAAATAATAATTCTGTATGTTTGACTGTGCTGTAATAGCAAAAACCTGTAAATCAAGCCGTAAATATAGCTGCTTAGATTAAATTTTTTTACAGTAAACCCTTATATAAAAATTTAACAAATTTATAATAAATTTAGAACGGATTTCTTCTTTTAAACAAGAAAAATAGATAGGCTAAGCCTCATTCTTAAAACATTGTGTTATTTTAATAATTAGAGAACAGTTGAGTCTATATTATCTTGAATATCAAGTGAGTAGAATATGGAAAAGTTAAGACTGCGGTTATGTCATGTATTAATCTATCACTACAATAAGCTGTAATGTGTACATGACACATTACATTAAGAATACTGAAAGTAATGTTGGAATTGGAATTAGGACTTTTGACATATTTGTGTAAAATTTAAAAGCAGCATAAGTTCAGCATCAAGGTGAAAATACATTCAGTGAATAATGTATCATTAAAGTTATTATAATAACCATATAATATTTTAAAATAACAAAGGATTTGCATCTAAAGATGACTCAATGATTCAACTTAGGAAATTTCATTTCTATTTCATTCAAGTTAGATGTCAGCAATCTGAAATGGCTTTTCCTTATACAAATCAGATTGCCACATGAAAGCATTGCACAAGCAATACTGTTAAGTAACATCTGATTACAGAGGCAATTCAATAAGGCTGAGGGGAGAAATACTACCCTGGAGTAATCTTTCATGAACCTTATTCAGGATTATCAAGATCATATGGAATTTCGCCAAGTGACATCATATTAACATAACTCTCAACATGGAAAATATAATTCAATATGAATAACTATACTTATCTACAGGTTAACAAGACATAACAATAGTTTCCACTGTCCTTAAATTAGAATCGAATTGCTTTTTGAACTATTTTAAAAGGTCACATGATTTATTTGATGCTATAACAGGTGAATTGTTTTATGTGCTTCCTATTGCTGTCTCAACATGGGTTTTTCTTTTAACATACTCTCTAAAGAATTAAATTATGACTATGAAAGTCTTTTACAGACTTATATACATTTCTTCCTTCTGTAAAAAGGTAGCAAGAACAGAACAGAGTGTTTTTAAGTCGCTTTTGGTTTTTTGAAACGAAGTCAATTAAATATTGAACTCTAAAATCTAATGTAGCCAACTGTCATTAGAATATTTTCAAAATAATTTCTACAGATTTATACAACATAAATCAAAATTATATTTCATGTGACTTACATACCTGTATAATATCTTGTTATATATTTTCAAAATGACAAGTTCCCTCTTGTTTTCTTTTAATTAAATAACATTACCACAGTAAAATACTTTTAAATTATCCAACCACTCCTGAAAGATTAACCTAAGTCAACAAAAAATATATATCTAACAAGATATACCTTCTAGAAAAACTGCTGAGCCAATTCAACAACTACAGCTTAGACAATGTGACATCTGGTAATGTGTTCCTTTAGCGACACAGTTGTTCAATTGCTATTTTTAGCCTACATGCTTTAATGAACAAGCTTCTTCCCCTCTGGGACATTTTGATATAACTATAAAAACAGGCAGCTCTGCAACACTTTTAATGTATACCCATTATTGCTATGCAGCCTAACAATGCAACTGAAATTACAAATTACAAATTATTTTAAAATTCTAAGTACTCATATTTATTGTAGCAAATAACAATCTCTTGAAAGAATTAATGTTGTTTAATAGTTTGCAATAATACATGAATAGGTGAGAGAAGCCTGCAGACACTGAAGGGATTCTGCAATCCCAACTCAGCTGTAGAATGTCTAACTGGGAAGGGTAAATTAGAATATAGGACTTCAAAATGATTCGGAAAAGGTGTTTTGAAACATTTACAACATTTGTGACTCATTAAAGTGGCCTTGTCTTTTTCTAGGATGTATGATTCTGGAAAAAAGCGCAGTTGCTTTAATGAGTCATAGACCAGGGCTGTGTTCAAGCTCTCATAAGGTCTAAAATCTTCCCCCAAATCAAATTCAAAGCATGACTGAGCTCTAGTAGCTAGAGGGGAGAAAATTGAACTTGACAATTAAATATGTGCCTTTCTCTCCTCATTGTTTTTACATACTATAATGACTACATAACACATAGAAAGTTATGTGCAATCCATTTATATGTCCTAGTATGTAACAAATGAATTTATGACTATGTCAGGAAAGTCTGCCATCTTTCAATCATGCAGAGATGATCCTTTATTTTCATTGATCATTTTAACAAACATAACAATCATCTTTATATCCTGTAGATTCTTTCACCTATCTGTAGAAAGTCTATTTAATTATAATTAACATTCTTCAATTATGAATTCACATTTGCCTCAATTCCTTCCCTCATCCATAACAAATAACACAAAAATCTTGTAGCATAAATAAGAAACAACAATATGAACTCTTCAGATTGCTCAAGTCCTTGGGACTTAGATAGCTAATAAATTAATATAACATATAAAACCCCAAAATATGATTTTGTTTCGTTTCTTATTTCTAGGAGATGTTTCCTATCCAAATTTTTGCAAAACAATTCTTCATATTCGTAGGTAGGATGAGTATTACACTATGCAACAATAAAATATTTGATTCAAGTTTTATCTTGTTTTTTTTTTTTTTTTTTTTGTAGTTTCCTGGAAAATACAACTTACCCTAAAAGTCCTAGCTTGATTTTTACGCATCCAATATAAGCCCTCCTCCCCCAAATAAGCCCTAATTAAGATCCCACCCACTCCAGAGTGCATGGGTAAAAATTAAGCTAGGGTGAGCATTGGGGGTGGGGTGGGGGTTGGACAGTTGTAGGCAGGCCTCGCACACCCTGATACCTGCCTTGCTGGCTCATCTCATCTGTATCCAGCAAGGCTGGCAAGGCTTTCCTGAAGGCCTCTATAGCTGATAACAAAGTTCTGGATCGATCTGGAGCTCTGTTATCGGCTGCAGAGGCCTTCAGGAAAGCCTTGCCAGCCACAGAAGAAGTTCCCGAAGGCCTCTGACAGCAAAAAGGAGGTTGGGGCAACGCACGCAAGTGAGGCTAGTCAGTGAATGGCATTCCCCAAAAATAAGACCTGGTGCCTTTTTTTGGTGGCAAAAAATAAGACAGGGTCTTATTTTGGGGGAAACACAGTATTTGCATTGTATCTTTTAACTGCTTTTCATTGTATTCTTTGAATATTCTTTTTTGCAGTAAAAAAAGTTTGAAATAATCTGACTCCACAATTGAAATACAGATCTCCTCTATACAGATTACTCTTAACTATGCCAACTAAAATACAGGTAGTCCTCAGTTTACAACCACAATTAAACCCAAAATTTAGGTTGCTAATCGAGAAATTTGTTAAACTAATTTTGCCCCATTTTATGACTTTTCTTACCACATTTGTTAAGTGAATCACTGCAGTTGTTAAATTAGTAACATGGTTTTTAAGGGAATCCAGTTTCTCCACTGACTTTGCTTGTCAGAAGATTCCAAAAGGGGATCACATGACCCTGGGACACTAAATCTGTCATAAATGTGAGTCAGTTGTCCAGCATCTGAATGTAAATCACATGACTATGGGAATGCTGCAACGGTCATAAGTGTAAAAAATGGTCGTACGTCATTGTTTCAGTGCCTTTGTAGCTTTGAACGGTCACTGTTGCAAGTCGAGGACTACCTGTCCTTAAAATATCCAGTATGAATGTAACATACATTTGAATGCTCATAGTAGTTAGATTCTTAAACTGGATGAGGTAGAGAGGAAGTTGTTATTCTCCCCAAGATATTTCTGAAAACATTTTTTTCCTGCCTTGTCCTCCACCAGTAACATTTAGGCTTTCTCAATAGACACAAATAATAAACACACTTTATTAGTATCCATACTTACCAAATGTTACTGTATTCAAATGTCCCAATGTGATTTTCTATATAAAATCAAAGAGAATTATATATTTAAAACTTTTTAAAAGATTTATCACAATGTTACTGTACAATACATCCAAATATAGCACACACTAATATATGCAACTCAGATTATGTGAAAGGTGAGCATATCTTCCTGAAAAATATTTGCAGCAATCATTTGATGAACCACTGATACAGGAGAATATTTGTAGCTCTGTTGAAATGTGGGGTCCTTCTTGCTCTCTGAGCTTGTTAAAAAAGCAAGCTCAGAGAGCACCAAGGACCCCTCACCATTGAACTATCTTAAGAATCAAGACTCTGGATTAATGAAAATATAATATTTTAAGCAAAAAAAACCACCTAGATAATGATCTTTAATGGCTTTAGATGAATAGTCATTTCATTTCTTGCACCTAGAAAAGAGTTATATATAAAGAGTTATGCTATGTAGTCAAAGCAACTGATATTTGGGGACAATTAAAGCATTACTGCTATCATTGTACTTTCCAATTTGGTGCTAGACAGAGATTCTGAATTACAACCTTTATAATCACCAGCGATTGTGGGCTGGCAATTCCAGGAATTGTAATCCAAGACATTTTAGGCATAAGTTAAGAGAAAGCTGCATTATACAATGAAGACCCTTTGATTGGAAAAGCAGTTTTAAGTTCAATGAAACTTTTCAATACCAAGAGAAGTCCAATACTTCTTCACTTCACTATTTTATCAAGACAATTTATGAGTAAAATTAGAAAAGCCAATTATTAAAATATTAAAATGAAAGCCATTTTGTTTCTCTCTAGAAATTTGCCAAATTTAATTCAAAGAACCATTTTAAAATTCCTCATCATTCCCACAAGGAAATGATGTTTCCAAAGAGGTTGGAGAATTCTTTATTTTAATTATTGCATCTTTTTATGCTGCTAATTTAACATTATGATACAGGGTGGGTGTTGCCCATCAACGTGGGGCCCCAGAATACCTTTAGGGAAGAAAATTCCCAATCTTTTCTGTCAAACATCCATTTTAATGAGGCATTTTATTTTCCTGGAAGAGTTTTGAAACCACACACTATCGAAGCAAAGTTGACTTGCATAATAAATAAGCTTACAATTCCGGTGCTATAAAAGCAGAAATATACTTACACGCATATAGTAAACTATCTAATGAAGGCGCAATATTAATTTTCAGAGCATCCAACGAGCTATTTGACAATCTGCAGACATGCGTGATACCCAACCCTGTTTTCCACCGAGAGTAATAATAATCTTCCCCACCGGGACCAAGCCTGAAAACACACTCAGGAACAGAAGCGTAAACAGCAGCCTCCCCATTGCAAAGGGCTCCAAATGGGGGCCCAGCAAACACAAAGGGCTGATGGATGGCACGCAGCAGTGACGTGGCAGAGGGGGCAGGCGCAGGGCCCGGAGCCATACTGCTGTTGACGTGCAGCCTGGCTTCTTTTTCCCACCTCCTCACGGGCTCTTCCACGTTGAACCCAAAACATATTGGCCACACTTCTGCCTTTTCTCCTGCGTAATCTATTTTTACCTCCCTTTGCACCCGCACTTAGCAGGGCTGAGTGTGCCTTGCTCTCTTCCCGGGGAGAAAACCTCTAGAGACGCGGCGTTATTTTTCCGCCTCGCCCTCGTTCTCTCTCTCCCCGCCTTCCAATCAAAGCAGCAGCCAAGGCTGCCGAAGCTGCCTCTGCAGGGAAGGCTGGTGGACGTTTAAAACAGTTCAGACCTACCGACAACGCCATGAAAGCTTCTCCCGCGCGGTCCCAAGCGCAAGGCTGCTCCGGTCCAGATCAGGGAAGAACCACAAGTCCCTTTTTGAGGCTTTCCTTTTCCCTACAACTCCAAGGTCGGCCGCCTTGTCCTCGCTATGCTTCTCACGTTCCCCCCTTGCTACGGGATGGCACCTAGCGGGAAGCACCTTCCTTCCACTCGAGCCAATTTTTGCACGGACAGCGTTTCGGCTCCCTTGTGCCCAAAGCGGCCCTTTACCTGCGCCCCGTTCCCACCTTCGCGGCCCCAGCAGGCGAGAGACCCCGGCCTCGGCGAGCCGCGGAGGGGGCAGGTGACAGCCCCCCCCCCCCAAATCCCATTCTTCTTCTTCCACCCCGGAAGGAAAAGGGTGGAGAAGATGCCTCAGGCAACTCCACCCCGCATTTTCTGCGCAAAGCGCAGAGGAGGCTGGAGACGAGGAGGCCCCCTTCCAAACTCACCTCGCTGGGATGCCCGCGCCGTTCGCTTCAGCCCGGCGGAGGATTCGACCAGGCAAACTCCAACCCGACTCCGACCCCTTGGCGGCTGCCTCTTCAGCGCTTGCCGACGTGGCGCCCTACGCACCTCGCCCGTCCCCGCCCGCAGAACCCGCCCCCGGCCGGCCCCCGGCGCCCCCCAGCGCGGCTGTGGAGGGGCGCGCAGGCGCTTGAGCCCAACCGGGCCGTCTCGGAACTTGGGCTGCCCCTTTTCCCCTTCCACCTTCTCCCCCTCCTCCTCTTCCGAGAGCGATGCTAAGGAGCCAACGGGAGGAATGAAGTTGACAGCAGCGATCAATAAAATTCCTCTTCCCTCTGGCTTCTTGTTTTACCTTGAGCGCCTTGCCGTAGTTGGAAGTTATGGCCAGGGTGTTGAACAACGACCTGAGCTCGTTCCAAATTGTTACCCCTTCTCTCAAGTAGGCTCCTGACAGTTGCGTGTCAGGCAGAAGTTCAAAAATTGCAACTGTGTCCGCTATGAATTATGATCCAGTTTTGCCTGAAGTTGCTAAAGACTTGCCGGTAAAACCCAAGGGAGAGACCTGAAGGAAGGAAAGGGCGATGTTAGACCACTATGCTCGGGTGTCAAGGAGCTGTTGACAGGCATAAAGGATATAGGCAGCGCTTGGAAATGAGGATACGTCATGGAGATGGGTGCTTTGCAACTGTTACTTAAAGACCCTAGAAACTAGGAACAAATACTGGATAATTTTAGATAAGATTATTCTTGTGTAACTAAACCAAATACATCCAATATCTTCAATTAGTGTTTGTAGAATTTATGGGGTGGGATGTCCATCTGTCTTTTTGACCAGTAAGAATTGAGAATTTCAGCAGCAGTGCTCTCCCAGATTACCAGCAACTTTCTGACCAATTGGTTTTCCTTTTCTCTCCCCATCCTTTCCCCTCTTTTGTTGTGTTCTCCTTCCTCTTCCAAAAGTAGGCAATGTCTTCGTTGTATTACTATCCTGAGAGCCTTTCCAAGGCATGGGACAACTGTTTACTGTAACCATTTGAAAAAAAAAAAACATACAGCAAAGATATAAATAGGATTGACAACCAGTCATGGACTGGAAATTGTGGCATCACTTTGTACTCAGCAGAATTCATGTCTTATCTGAGAGCAGGTTTAACAATGACTGATTGTGACGTTCTGATTTTTACCAGGGCCTGAAAATAATGGAAAAACAGTAACAAGGGTTCAGCCTTTGTATATATTCCACAGTTCTCACCTATACTTTAAAGCAGTTTGACTCTTCAAGCTTCTATGTAGCCTGAAAACAAAGGTTGCTATGGTTTAAAAGTTGCATTTATCTTTGTAGCTAAATTCTGATGACAGTTGTTCCTTTTTCCAGACAGAAGTCAGGCTGCTTTCTGGTAATTATCTGGTGGTCCTGGAGAATATAAAAATAGTCCAAAAAGGGAGATAAAAATAACCCAGGAGGTCAGTTGGATTAGCTTCCAGACAACAAATTTCTATGAGGCATACTAACACAATGTTTCTCCCATGCCTGGGTTGGAAATCAAATTGGAATGATCAAAGAAGCAGTCTCTCCACAGGATTGCTGGAATTCAGGCATCATCGTGGCCTCGAGATTTAGTTATTTTACACACAAAGGAAAAATTGATCTTCCTGATATGCAGGATGATTATTTTCAAACAAGAGAGCTGTATTGCCTTCCTCAATACAACTGGTACTTCTCTATATGTTTACAATAGGGTTGTTTTGGCTTGCTCAATCAAAGCTGGAAAAGATCCCATGTACATATTACTGCATGTTATTTTCTCTAGAACACTTACAACACTGACACTGATTAGAAGTCAACTGACATTGACCCAGTCAATTCTGAAAGGCGTCCCCTTGAGAATTTCAGACAGAATATCTTTTTCTTTAGTTGCAGGAATATATGAACAATTTTCTCAGACGTATTAGACTTTTTAGTGAGGATTTGAATACAGGTAGTCCTTAATTGATGTCGACTCACTTAGTGACCATTCAAAGTTACAATGGACCTCCTCAGAATTACTTACAACCTGGGTTTGAAGTTCTGACAGCTCGCTCCCCAGTCAGGTGATCACATTTTGAACACTTGGCAACCAATCCACACTTACAACCATTTGCAGTGTCCCACAATCATGTGACCATGATCAAGTGACTGGTGTTTTCTGGTTCCCAGCAAGAAACACCCATTAGTTAAAATAAGTTTGCTACAGCCATGGCATTTGCTTAACAACTGCCACAAAAAAAAAGATTGTTAAATCGGACATGCCATAAGGTGTTCTGTTTGACAGATATGACTTATGACTAATTCTGGACCCAGTTACAGTCAAGTCAAAGACTGCCTGTAATGAATTTATTTTATTTCCCCCACACAACAGTCCTGTGAGGTGCGTTGGATTAACTGGCCCAGAGTCACTAAGCCAACTAGAACTCACAATCTCCTGGTTTCCTACCTGGTTCCTTTTCCACTAATCCAAACATATACTAAATGCTTAGTACTAAATTCCATCAAGTCAATAGTCTTTACAGGTAATTCTCAACCTACAATCACAATTGAACCCAATATTTCTGTTGTACAGTTGTTAAGTGAATCATGTCCCATTTTACATGGTTATTCCCTATAGTTAAGTGAATTATGCAGTCATAAAGTGGATCTGGCTTCCCCTATTGACTTTGCTTGTCAGAACTCCCTAGGAAGGTTGCAGGTGACAATTTCAGGACCTTGGGATAAATATATGCTGGTTGCCAAGCCACTCAAAATTTGATCAGATGGTGGGGAAACTGCAATTGTCATAAATGTGACAACTGATCATAAGTCACTTTTTTCAGAGCTATTGTAACTTTGGTCATTAAATTTGTGTTTTTAGGGGCGGGGAATTTTGGCAGGTGGGCGGTGTTTGGAGATTGTTGTGTGTGTGTGCGTGTTGGATCTGGTATCTGGGTGTTATGTGAATTTTGTTGTATGTATACTGTGTATATACGTACCCTGTTTCTCCAACAATACGGCCTCCCCCAATAGGAAGTCCCAGCATGTTTTATAGGCATGAAATGAAATTAAGCCCCTCCCCCCAAATTAAGGCCTATATTAAAACATGCAAAATGGGGGGGAAATGGTGGGGGGGCTTGCTGTTAGGAAGTACTTTTGTTGCACACCCGGATATGGTGCTGCCTGCGTTGACCCTGATACAAAGTGCCCCACCAACGCCGAGGTCAACATCCAAGTCGTCGCCACCCGCCTGCCCAAAGATGCAAGGCGGGGGAATTAAGTCACCCCCGAAAAGACGGCCTAGCCATTTTTTCGGGGCTCAAAAAAAAATAAGACCCGGCCTTATTATATGAGAAACACGGTACAATGACAAGAATTCAATTCAATTCAATTCAAATGGTTGTAAGTGGTGGACTACCTGTACTCTGCCCCTTTTTTTGTCCCAGAGGAAAAAAATGACTCAATCCATTTAGCCAATTTCTATGTAATGCAGGCTTTAGAACCTGGGACAGGAGAGTCACATTTCCTCCTCCAAAAGCCATGGTGATTTTTCAAAACACACTGCCAAATTACAGTTTTCAATATGAAAAGAAGCTAAATTAGTAAATACTGGGGAAATATTATTAATTATAAGTAAATTAATATAATTGAACACATTAGTTTCCATTTATTAATTTATTTTTATTATATTATATTTTTTATTTTACATTTTATTTTATTATATGCTGCCCATCTTGCCTTGAGACAACTCTGGGCAGCTTACAACATTAAAAGCTATGAAACCATAAAACATAAATGTTTATAGACAATAACATTGAATTAAGAATAAAATTACTGGAAAATAAAAAGTATTAATTTGAATTTTGAACTTTTATTATATATCTAGGGTAATATTAGCTGAAATACAGTAATTAATTAAAGAAGTGACTGGGGTTATATTATTGCTATATATTTATGCATCAGCGTTCAATATACCAATTTTTGATACTAGTCGGGTCAATTACTAGTAGGGTATATTTTGATAAAATTAAAGGTTACAGCAATTCTATTTTTGAGATGTTGATTGACAGGCTACAATCACAATCTCCTCTGTGCTAGAAAGATTATATGTGTGCCCTGGATTTTATTTTAGAAT